ATGTCACAGAAAGAATATATCTAGGTGACGCGGATTGAATATCCATGTCTCTGACTCAGAATGACAGAACAAATGTAATATCTTACACCCACACGGGAGGCAAGTACTTGTTAGCGTACAGTGCTGGTCATGTTACAGGATATAAGTACTTGTTAGCTTACAGTGCTGGTCATGTTACAGGAGACAAGTACTTGTTAGCTTACAGTGCTGGTCATGTTACAATGTAGTAAAATATATACTTCTGGGACTATTACATCCACAGTATCTTTATCTCTGTGCCAATGTGCACAGTTGTGCTGTACCTATTTGAGATTTATCTCTGTCCCAATGTGCACAGTTGTGCTGTACCTATTTGAGATTTATCTCTGTGCCAATGTGCACAGTTGTGCTGTACCTATTTGAGATTTATCTCTGTGCCAATGTGCACAGTTGTGCTGTACCTATTTGAGATTTATCTCTGTGCCAATGTGCACAGTTGTGATGTACCTATTTGAGATTTATCTCTGTGCCAATGTGCACAGTTGTGCTGTACCTATTTGAGATATATCTCTGTCCCAATGTGTACAGTTGTGCTGTACCTATTTGAGATTTATCTCTGTCCCAATGTGTACAGTTGTGCTGTGCCTATTTTAGATTTATCTCTGTCCCAATGTGTACAGCTGTGCTGTGCCTGTTTTAGATTATTTCTTATCTGCTACACTTTGTGCAGACTAAAGTCCTACCTGAATCAAGAAGCAGAATGTCAGGTCTATGTACCCGGTTCTTAACCCTTTTGAAAGAAAATATTTTTCTCTGTTTCTTGTCCATCTCACTGTAATTTGGCTACTTCTTATCATTCAACTAAAATAAACAAATGTCTCGACTGACAACAGAATGTCTTCATTCTACAGCCATATTCTCTTGGATAACAACAGGAAACCTGGCTCAAAGCTGGTAGGACAACAAATAATGACTAACCCATTATTTTGTGCCTCCTTGTCATCAAAGAAAGATTATAGAGGACTGATATTCATAACAATTGGCCAAGACACCACATTTCTTCTGCTTTTTCATCTCTTGTTCTAGGGTATAGTTTGAGAGAACTATAAGGGTGAATTTAAAAAAAAAAAAGAAAAAAGAAGGTAATTTTTCTTTAAAAAATGTGTACAGGGTGAAAGAGCTAGAGGTACCTGTGAGCCACTTAAGAGTATCCTGTATTGCTATTTTTTGTTTCCAAGAAATCAAAGACAACTAACAAATATCACTTCTGTAAACAAAACTTGTAATAATCCACCAGAAATAATTTTCAGCTGTGAATACACTTGCCTGCTGGCAAAAGTGACGACACATGTCTACATCTGTCTACACCTGTCTACACTTGTCTATATTTCTAATAAAAAACACAGTCATGTGATCAATAGCCTACCTTCTCATGTATATTAACATTTCACAAAAACTGTGTACAAGTCTTAGGTCTTTCAAACATCTGCATATATAAATAACAATTATTACAAAAACTTAATTGTTTATAAATAACAGTTACAGCCTCAATTTTAGCTATTATAATGAAAGCCCAAAAATATTTAACTCCCCCTAAAGCCCACAAATAATTAACTTTTCCACAATAAAGCCCACATTTGGTTAACTTTCAGCAATTACAACCATTGCATGATTAAATATGTAACCCTACAATCTACAGATTTTAATCCCCCCCCTTTCCAAACACTGTAACAGTGTAACTTTTCATCCCTAGAGCCTACAAGGGTAGTTTTCTTATCCCAAAATTCACAATTCTGACTTATTTTATCCATGTTATGTGTGATATAGGCCATAAATAATTTAGCAAACAAACTGTCTAACAGTAATATGTTTTTAGCAGAAATTTTAAAAGTTTGCCACAAATGTTTACTGGAGATCTGAAGTGGATCTCAATACCATCATGGCTTCAATATGTTCACAGTGGAGACTGAGTCCCTGAGCTGCTGAAGAAGTCTTGCATGTTGGTTGCATAACGGCAGGAGATTAACTTGAGAGCTGTTATTATGTTAAGAGTTTAGAGCTGGAACTCAACTCTTGAGCTGCTATGATGCTTAGAGTTGGCACTAAACATATGAGCTGTCAGAGAAGTCTGTATGTTGATGTGTTCACGGTCGAGACTCTACACCTGAACTGTTGAAGACTTGCATGTTGATGTGTTCACAGTCGAGACTCTATCCCTGAACTGTTGAAGTCTTGCATGTTGATGTGTTCACAGTCGAGACTCTACCCCTGAACTGTTGAAGTCTTGCATGTTGTGGTTATCGATGTTGTCATTTTCATTTTTGCTGTGGGAGCTGATGCTGTTGTTGCTGGTGTTGTAGGTTCCTGCAGCCTCTTGCAGACGCATCAACATGTTCACCTGCAGTGATTACAAAAGGAAATCATTTTCACCTGAAATCATTACAGACAACATGTTCACCTGCAGTGATTACAAGAAGAAATCATTTTCACCTGAAATCATTACAGAATGTGTAATTTTCGCCTGAAATGATATAAAAGAACATAAATTACACCTCACATAATTTATTTAAAAATATTTATTTTAACTAAAACTACTAATATTCATGCCCTCACATTTTTTCATCTTACGCATTCACCCTTAAAAAGGTGGTCAGCATACTGTGTTGTTGTTTAAGGCTATGCTGTGGTATATGTTCCTTTTGACTCAAAACATCAGATTTCAGCTAACTGCTGGTTTGTTGCCTGTTATGACATGGAAGGTTAGCAGATGTCAGTCTATTCTTTGTTTCCTATTTTGGAGAGGAAAAGGAGCCCAGAATTCACACTTACAACTTAAATCTAAACATTGTAGATTACTTCTCATGTTTAGTTTTCACTTTTCTCCCCCCTAGAGACCACACAATGATTGTTCTAGTGTTAGGATTAGACAGCCTTCTCATCCCTTGCATTTAGTGTCATCACAGTTTGTGGGTCAGTCGCACAAACACAACCCTTTATCTTCATACACAGTCACAGACACATAACACTTTATCTTTGCACCTAGTCCCAGAAATATAATTCTTTATCTTTGCACCTAGTCACAGATATATAACACTTAATCTTCACACCTAGTCACAGACACATAACAATTTATCTCACACCTAGTCACAGACACATAACACTTTATCTTCACACCTAGTCGAAGATAAATAACACTTTATCTTTACACCCAGTCACAGGCACATGACACTTAATCTTCATACCCAGTCACATAACACTTCATCTTCACACACAGCCACAGACACATAACACTTTATCTTCACACAGTCACAGACACATAACACTTTATCTTCACACACAGTCACAGACACAGAACACTTTATCTTCACACCTAGTCACAGACACATAACACTTTATTTTCACACCTAGTCACCCTAGTCACAGACACATAACACTTTATCTTCACACACAGCCACAGACACATAACACTTTATCTTCACACCTAGTCACAGACACATAACACTTTATCTTTGCACCTAGTCACCCTAGTCACAGACACATAATACTTTATCTTTACACCTAGTCACAGACACATAACACTTTATCTTCACACCTAGTGACAGACACATAACACTTTATCTTCACACCTAGTCACAGACGCATAACACTTTATCTTCACACACAGTCACCGACACATAACACTTAATCTTCACATCCATTCACAAACACATAACACTTTATCTTTACACACAGTCACACACATGACACTTAATCTTCACACCCAGTCATAAACACACGACACTTTATCTTCCCACACTGAACAGACAGCACATTATAGACAAGCAGTCCTGCAGACAAGAAATTACCACAACAAAAGTGGAAAGCAGTCAGCACGGCAGAGAAACACATAGTTGGTTAACTGATGTGTGGTGTCTGATGTGTGGTGTCTGATGTAAGATGTGTGGTGTCTGATATGAAATGTCTGATGTGTGGTGTCTGATGTGAGATATCTGATGTGTGGTGTCTGATGTGAGATGTCTGATGTGAGATGTCTGATGTGTGGTGTCTGATGTGAGATGTCTGATGTGTGGTGTCTGATGTGAGATGTCTTATGTGAGATGTCTGATGTGAGATGTCTGATGTGAGATGTCTGATGTGTGGTGTCTAATGTGAGATGTCTGATGTGTGGTGTCTGATGTGTGGTGTCTGATGTGAGATGTATGATGTGAGATGTCTAATGTGTGGTGTCCGATGTGAGATGTCTGGTGTGTGGTGTCTGATGTGAGATGTCTGGTGTCTGATGTGAGATGTCTGATGTGTGGTGTCTGATGTGAGATGTCTGATGTGAAATGTCTGATGTGGTGTCAGATGTGAGATGTCTGATGTGTGATGACTGATGTGAGATGTCTAATGTGTGGTGTCTGATGTGAGATGTCTAATGTGTGGTGACTGATGTGAGATGTCTGATGTGAGATGTCGTAAGTGAGATGTCTGATGTGAGATGTCATAAGTGAGATGTCTGATGTGAGATGTCTGATGTGTGGTGTCTGATGTGAGGTGTCTTATGTGTGATGTCTGATGTGAGATTTCTGATGTCTGATGTGAGATGTCTGATGTGAGATTTCTGATGTCTGATGTGAGATGTCTTATGTGTGATGTCTGATGTGAGATTTCTGATGTCTGATGTGAGATGTCTGATGTGAGATGTCTGATGTGAGATGTCTGATGTGAGATTTCTGATGTCTGATGTGAGATGTCTGATGTGTGGTGTCTAATGTGAGATGTGTAATGTGAAATGTCTGATGTGTGGTGTCTGATATGAGATGTATGATGTGATGTGTCTGATGCGAGGTGTCTGATGTAAAATTTCTGATGTCTGATGTGTGGTGTCTGATGTGAGATTTCTGATGTCTGATGTGTAATGTCTGATGTGTAGTGTCTGATATGTGGTGTTTGATGCGGTGTAAGGTATCTCATGATAAGTGTCTGATGTATAGTATCTCATGGAGAACATGCCATTTTGGGCAGAAAAAAGGCTTTACCAATGGATCGTTTTCTTTGCTGTCAATAATGGGCGATTTGGTCATGCCTTGTAGCGAGGGTGATGAAGATGTTTGTGGTTGCGGTTCGTATCCTAGATCATCTGCTCGGATGTGCATTAGACCTGTCCCAGATCCACGGTTGGGCCATGGGTAGGACTCCAGAACCCAGTCAGTTGGGTCCTCCCAGGCACTGCGACATCCATAAACCTACAACACAAAAACACACTGTGTCACTCATTGCCAGTACAAACAGCTTTTACTCCCCCCTAACTTCCCAAATAATACTATTTTATACCATATCATTTAACTGATTATATTCCTCTGCAACATCTTAAAACTATTTATGCTTACTCTGTTCCAACCTTTTGACCTCATTTTCATCTTATGTATGTCATTATGTCTGAGTTTACTCAAGAGACTTTTCCCCTTATTTTAAACTGATAGGAATCTATGGTTTCAAACCATCAAGATGGATTTGCTATAAGTGTTACAGTATAGATGTTTATTTATTTTCTCACTAGCTGTTTGTGTTCTGTTTAACCATAAAGGCTATTGCTACATCTAAAGTTATCAGCTGAGTTTATTTCTCAAACCACATTGCATGATCATTATCCTAGGCATTATGTAACAGTTACTCTGGTGAATCAGTCTTATTGCATATGGTAAATATTCTTGCTAAAACAGGGCAGAATGTATGAATGTCATTCTTAATCCTTTAAAAATTTGGTTTTCTCTTTTTTTTTAATTTGTTCTTTCCTGCTTTGTTCTTTCCTTGAAATCTCTTCTACTATTTATTTAATTAGAAATTCTCTCTATACTGTCACCTTACTTGAAATTCTCTCTTTCTCACCATCCTTTTAACCTACAAGCCCTCCCCTTCTCTCACTGTCCCTCTTACCTACAAGCTCTCCCCTTCTCTCATTGTCCCTCTTACCTACAAGCCCTCCCCTTCTCTCATTGTCCCTCTTACCTACAAGCCCTCCCCTTCTCTCATTGTCCCTTTTCCCTGCATGCCCTCTCTATCTCTCTCACCATCCTTTTAACCTACAAGCCCTCCCCTTCTCTCATTGTCCCTCTTACCTACAAGCCCTCCCCTTCTCTCATTGTCCCTTTTCCCTGCATGCCCTCTCTATCTCTCTCACCATCCTCTTACCTTCAAGCCCTCCCCCTCTCTCATTGTCCCTTTTACCTACATGCCTCTCTCTCTCTCTCTCTCTCTCTCTCTCTCTCTCTCACTGTCCCTCTTACCTTCAAGCCCTCCCTCACTGTCACTCTTACCTTCAAGCCCTCCCTCACTTTTCCCTTACCTGCAAGCCCTCCCTCACTGTTCCCTCTTACCTTCAAACCCTCTCTCACTGTTCCCTCTTACCTGCAAGCCCTCTCTCACTGTCCCTCTTACCTTCAAGCCCTCTCTCACTGTTCCCTTACCTGCAAGCCCTCTCTCACTGTTCCCTTACCTGCAAGCCCTCTCTCACTGTTCCCTTACCTGCAAGCCCTCTCTCACTGTTCTCTTACCCGCAAGCCCTCTCTCACTGTTCTCTTACCCGCAAGCCCTCTCTCACTGTTCTCTTACCTGCAAGCTCTCTCTCACTGTTCTCTTACCTGAAAGCTCTCTCTCACTGTTCCTTTACCTGCAAGCTCTCTCTTACTGTTCCCTTACCTGCAAGCCCTCTCTCACTGTCCCTCTTACCTGCAAGCCCTCTCTCACTGTTCCCTTACCTGCTAGCCCTCTCTCACTGTTCCCTTACCTGCAAGCCCTCTCTCGCTGTTCCCTTACCTGCAAGCACTCTCTCACTGTCCCTCTACCCTGCAAGCTCTCTCTCTCAATGTTCCCTTACCTGCAAGCTCTCTCTCTCATTGTTCCCTTACCTGCAAGCCCTCTCTCACTGTACTCTTACCTGCAAGCCCTCTCTCACTGTTTCCTTACCTGCAAGCCCTCTCTCACTGTTTCCTTACCTGCAAGCCCTCTCTCACTGTTTCCTTACCTGCAAGCCCTCTCTCACTGTTCCTCTTACCTGCAAGCCCTCTCTCACTGTTCCTCTTACCTGCAAGCCCTCTCACACTGTTCCCTTACCTGCAAGCCCTCTCACACTGTTCCCTTACCTGCAAGCCCTCTCACACTGTTCCCTTACCTGCAAGCCCTCTCACACTGTCCCTCTTACCTGCAAGCCCTCTCTCACTGTCCCTCTTACCTGCAAGCCCTCACTCACTGTTCTATTACCTGCAAGCCCTCACTCACTGTTCTATTACCTGTAAGCTCTCTCTCTCACTGTTCCCTTACCTGCAAGCCCTCTCTCACTGTTCCCTTACCTGCAAGCCCTCTCTCACTGTTCCCTTACCTGCAAGCCCTCTCTCACTGTTCCCTTACCTGCAAGCCCTCTCTCACTGTTCTCTTACCTGCAAGCCCTCTCTCACTGTTCCCTTACCTGCAAGCCCTCTCTCACTGTTCCCTTACCTGCAAGCTCTCTCTCACTGTCCCTCTTACCTTCAAGCCCTCTCTCACTGTTCTCTTACCTGCAAGCCCTCTCTCACAGTTCCTTTACCTGCAAGCCCTCTCTCACTGTTCTCTTACCTACAAGCCCTCTCTCACTGTTCTCTTACCTGCAAGCCCTCTCTCACTGTCTCTTACCTGCAAGCCCTCTCTCACTGTTCCCTTACCTGCAAGCCCTCTCTCACTGTTCCCTTACCTGCAAGCCCTCTCTCACTGTTCTCTTACCTGCAAGTCCTCTCTCACTGTTCCCTTACCTGCAAGCCCTCTCTTACTGTTCCCTTACCTGCAAGCCCTCTCTTACTGTTCCCTTACCTGCAAGCCCTCCCGGACTGTTTCCACTAGTGTGTAGTTCCACAAATCAGTGAACCAGACCTGAGACCCTGCGATGTCCATGGGACATGACATAAATAATCTTGGACCTGTCCAGGAAGAAACACAAGAATCAATGACACCAGTCTGCCCAGGAAGAAACACAAGAGTCAGTGACACCAATCTGTCCATAAAGAAACACAAGAGTCAATGACACCAATCTAATACTGACCAATAGTCACAAGGAATGGCACACTGATTCAACCAGTCAAACCATAAGACACTATTGAAGGGTTCTAAGACTGAAATGCTATACATAATTGATCAACAGTACAACACAACTAAAATTGGTACTCTTTAAGACTGAAAATTTGTAATGATTACAATGGTGTAAATAACGGATTTCACAACAGGGTACATGTCGTGATAAGAGACCCAACAATGAGGGTAACTTCTCCTACCATTGATGCCTCGATCTGGTTTAACGTCTCTACTGTTTTGCAGGGGTTTCAGGCGTAGTGAGTTGTATTTTACTCCTTGCTGTCAGCAGCCGGTGATTTTGTGTCTTCTATGCTGTGAGCGTGCTTGTATGCTGTGTACAAATGGGCCCTCCCCCCCCCCCACACTCCACAGCCTCAGCCTATGTCTCAAGACTGTATGCAACCTCTATTATACACTGCAGACAGTCCTGCGACTTAGAATGCACCCCTGAACCCCTAATAGAGGCGATACATCAGATCAAGGCATCAATGGAAAGGGAGGTCACTCTTATTGTTGGGTCTCTTTACGTGACTTGAACCTAAAACAGAAGAGATTTAAAAAAAAAATACTTAATAATAATAGTACATCTTAAGAAAAAAAAGGGATGCCTAAATTATGCAAAATGGTAATTGGTCATTAAAAAAATTATGGTAGCCTGGGTGCACTTCTCAATGAGGGAGAATGTGGCCAGTTGGCCACTGAAGAGGGCATATTTGTATTTACGAGTATGTGGAATTAGCAAACAAGCTGGCAAAGTCTCTTCTTTCAGTCTCAGAAAATCACACCAGGTGCGTGACTGAAGCAATCATGTTGACAATAAAAGCCTAGGTATACTGCATCTTGGGGGTCCAGACAGATACGCAGCACATTGTGGGTGACTTGTGTTGCTGGACTGATCTAGTTTGCCTGACTAAACGTAAGATTCACAAATATACAAAACATGTTGACTAGTGCACATGAGCAATATCCAGTTTACATGTTGTCTGGTTTGTGGCTGAAAGAGTTAAACACCCAAAAGTAGACAAGGAGAGAGAGAGGAAGATCAAAACTTACCAATTGTGACATCTGCAGAGCTGTGTGACTCCAGTGCTTTGTTTAGATGTGCCCAGACTTTAGGAATCCAGTCTACAACCCGGTTTAAGTCATTGTTGCGTATGCCGGTTCTGATTTCTGATTCGACGAGCTTGCGGCGCAAATATCTGCCCAGGAAACCTTTGACTTCCATGTGGTTAGCACAGAGGACAAACCTGCAGGAGCAAACAAACAAACAGACACTGTCACAAGCAAACATTCAACATATGCTTCTGTAGACTACATGTTTAGATTGTTGAATGCTATATGGCAGTTGAAGCTCTCAAGCCACCTGGGGTATTGGATAAATGACACAGAACAATTTAAGTTGATAGTTACCAGAAAACATTGCCACCCACGTAATCCTGAAGCCCACAGAATCCAGAAAACATTGCCACCCCTGTAATCCTGGGGCCCACAGAATCCAGAAAACATTGCCACCCCTGTAATCCTGGGGCCCACAGAATCCAGAAAACATTGCCACCCCTGTAATCCTGGGGCCCACAGAATCCAGAAAACATTGCCACCCCTGTAATCCTGGGGCCCACAGAATCCAGAAAACATTGCCACCCATGTAATCCTGGGGCCCACAGAAAATCAGAAAACATTGCCACCCATGTTATCCTGGGGCCCACAGAATCTACAAAACATTGCCACCCATGTTATCCTGGGGCCCACAAGGAAAGCCTAGAATGGGAACACTGTAAGCGACCATGTGTACTACAGCAGGGGACCAGAGACGATTAGTGGGAGACTGGGAGTTGATACCTCAGATCATTTGGGCCTTTTTGTGTGCATGTGTGTGTGTGTGTGTGTGTGTGTGGTGTGTGTGTGTGTGGTGTGTGTGTGTGTGTGGTGTGTGTGTGGTGTGTGTGTGTGGTGTGTGTGTGGTGTGTGTGTGGTGTATGTGTGGTGTGGGTGTGTGTGTGTGGTGTGTATGTGTGTGGTGTGTATGTGTGTGGTGTGTGTGTGTGTGTGGTGTGTGTGTGTGGTGTGTGTGTTTATGGTGTGTATGTGTGGTGTGTGTGTGTGGTTTGTGTGTGTATGGTGTGTGTGTGTGTGTGGTGTGTGTGTATGTGTGTGCGTGCATGTGTGTGTATGTTTGTGTGTATGAGTGCATATGTGTGTATGAACAATGGTGTCATGCTGGGGGTGTGGTTACAACACCAGGGCACACCCTGCTGGACAAAGTGACATTCAAATATTTAGCTCGTAAATTTTCAAGTGTAACATGCAAACATTAGTTTGTTATGTGTTGTATCTGAAGAAAATAACTGTAATAATCAGCATTTTCCCCACTGTTTATATTTCACCTCAGAACTGTCTGGTACCAGAGGAAAATAACGAGATTCTTCTTCTTTTTCTACATTTGCTCTTAAGAAGGCAGTTAGGCATTTTGCGTTTGGTGTACAGCTAAGCTGCAACATCCGCACCTTTTGGCCTAGCATATCCAATATTTGTTAAACATTAAGAGTGGTCTTTTATAACATGATTGTTAACTCTTTGAGTCCCAGTGGGTTTAGCATCACAGGCCCAAGGAATAGTAAATAGAGACATACGATTAGTGCATCATGCCTTAACTGGACTACTAGGTAGGAACCTGTGAACGTATGATGCATTCCTTGGGACTTAGAGAGTTAAGGAGCAATCAGTCGATTCTTTGTCTCCTCCAAAATGAAGCCCTGGAGCAGATGGTGAGATTTGATCATAAGAACAATAACGCATATTTTAACATGTAAAACATGACATCATGGAGCTTTACTACTAGTATTGTATGTCACTTTGATGTCACTGTGATGCAGGTTGTTTGTTATATACTCCGCTACTTGTTAAACTTTAAACACTTAAGAGAGGAGAAAAGAAACGACAAACAAGTACACACCTGAAGTTGTGGTGCAGCTGCAGATTTGTGGTTGAGCATGAGGACTGACTCATGGTTCCGATGATGTATGGGCTGCAGAAAAGTCAAAACACCAGTGAAACAAAATGTAGGCAGTTTATACAACCCATACACTGTGATTTAGGGTTAATTAGCAAAAGAACAGACTCAAAACAAAAATCCAATGTAACAATAATGATCAAACTCTAAAATAAGAAATCACAATACGAAATTCACTAACAACAAAGAAATCTGGCAAAAATGTGTGTGTGTTATTGTGGGGCATTAAGTTTAAAAACAAACAAAAAATTATAACTACAAATATCACAGGTTTAATTACTATTTATTTTCTGTCTCATCTCCAATCTGTTACAAGACAAACTCTTCCAGACATAGTCTCATCTCCAATCTGTTACAAGACATACTGTTGCAGACATAAGTCTCATCTCCAATCTGTTACAAGACATACTGTTGCAGACATAGTCTCATCTCCAATCTGTTACAAGACATACTGTTTCAGACATAGTCTCATCTCCAATCTGTTACAAGACATGCTGTTCCAGACATAGTCTCATCTCCAATCTGTTACAAGACATACTGTTGCAGACATAGTCTCATCTCTAATCTGTTACAAGACATACTGTTGCAGACATAAGTCTCATCTCCAATCTGTTACAAGACATACTGTTCCAGACATAGTCTCATCTCCAATCTGTTACAAGACATACTGTTTCAGACATAGTCTCATCTCCAATCTGTTACAAGACATACTGTTCCAGACATAGTCTCATCTCCAATCTGTTACAAGACATACTGTTCCAGATATAGTCTCATCTCCAATCTGTTACAAGACATACTGTTGCAGACATAGTCTCATCTCCAATCTGTTACAAGACATACTGTTCCAGACATAGTCTCATCTCCAATCTGTTACAAGACATACTGTTCCAGATATAGTCTCATCTCCAATCTGTTACAAGACATACTGTTGCAGACATAGTCTCATCTCCAATCTGTTACAAGACATACTGTTCCAGACATAGTCTCATCTCCAATCTGTTACAAGACATACTGTTCCAGACATAGTCTCATCTCCAATCTGTTACAAGACATACTGTTCCAGACATAGTCTCATCTCCAATCTGTTACAAGACATACTGTTCCAGACATAGTCTCATCTCCAATCTGTTACAAGACATACTGTTCCAGATATAGTCTCATCTCCAATCTGTTACAAGACATACTGTTCCAGACATAGTCTCATCTCTAATCTGTTACAAGACATTCTATTCCAGACATAGTCTCATCTACAATCTGTTACAAGACATACTGTTCCAGACATAGTCTCATCTCCAATCTGTTACAAGACATACTGTTGCAGACATAAGTCTCATCTCCAATCTGTTACAAGACATGCTGTTCCAGACATAGTCTCATCTCCAATCTGTTACAAGACATACTGTTGCAGACATAGTCTCATCTCTAATCTGTTACAAGACATACTGTTGCAGACATAAGTCTCATCTCCAATCTGTTACAAGACATACTGTTCCAGACATAGTCTCATCTCCAATCTGTTACAAGACATACTGTTCCAGATATAGTCTCATCTCCAATCTGTTACAAGACATACTGTTGCAGACATAGTCTCATCTCCAATCTGTTACAAGACATACTGTTCCAGACATAGTCTCATCTCCAATCTGTTACAAGACATACTGTTCCAGACATAGTCTCATCTAAAATCTGTTACAAGACATACTGTTCCAGACATAGTCTCATCTCCAATCTGTTACAAGACATACTGTTCCAGACATAGTCTCATCTCCAATCTGTTACAAGACATACTGTTCCAGATATAGTCTCATCTCCAATCTGTTACAAGACATACTGTTCCAGACATAGTCTCATCTCTAATCTGTTACAAGACATTCTATTCCAGACATAGTCTCATCTCCAATCTGTTACAAGACATACTGTTCCAGACATAGTCTCATCTCCAATCTGTTACAAGACATACTGTTGCAGACATAGTCTCATCTCCAATCTGTTACAAGACATACTGTTGCAGACATAGTCTCATCTCCAATCTGTTACAAGACATACTGTTGCAGACATAGTCTCATCTCCAATCTGTTACAAGACATACTGTTGCAGACATAGTCTCATCTCCAATCTGTTACAAGACATACTGTTCCAGACATAGTCTCATCTCCAGTATGTTACAAGACACACTGTTGCAGACATAGTCTCATCTCCAATCTGTTACAAGACATACTGTTGCAGACATAGTCTCATCTCCAATCTGTTACAAGACACACTGTTGCAGACATAGTCTCATCTCCAGTCTGTTACAAGACATACTGTTGCAGGCATAGTCTGTGTTTATCTCATTTTTCTCACGGAGCTTGTTCTTGACCATAACATTGAGACCCATCAGACTATCTAGACACATAACATTGAGACCCATCAGACTATCTAGACACATAACATTGAGACCCATCAGACTATCTAGACACATAACATTGAGACCCATCAGACTATCTAGACACATAACATTGAGACCCATCAGACTATCTAGACACATAACATTGAGACCCATCAGACTATCTAGACACATAACATTGAGACCCATCAGACTATCTAGACACATAACATTGAGACCCATCAGACTATCTAGACACATAACATTGAGACCCATCAGACTATCTAGACACATAACATTGAGACCCATCAGACTAGCTAGACACATAATGTCCTGTAAGCCTCTCCCTGGATACTTTCAAAATCTGGCATCATGGACACGTCGAGGGTGTTTTCTGTCTCCCCAGGATTAATTTGTTGAAATTTTACTGAGTTGATCTTTTTAGACACAGCAGTCAATAAATGCAAACAAACACCAACAGATAAGTGTCTACAAACTTAGGTTAAAAGATAATCTGAGGCAGACATGTTTCTTCTGACCGCTTACAGTGTCCCAGTTGCACAGACAGTGTCTGAGGCATTGTGGGAAATAGGTGGCAGACTAGAAGTACTAGATGGAGTTCATAATGCTAGCGTTGTGTATTTACTAACAACTTATGCTCGCATCATGTGTTTATGACAACTTATGCTTGCGCCATGTGCCTGTTACAACTTATGCTTGTGCCATGTGCCTGTTACAACTAATGTTTGTGTCATGTGCCTGTTACAACTAATGCTTGTGTCATGTGCCTGTTACAACTAATGTTTGTGTCATGTGCCTATTACAACTAATGCTTTCATCATGTGCCTGTTACAACTAATGTTTGTGTCATGTGCCCTTTACAACTAATGTGTGTGTCATGTGCCTGTTACAACTAATGTTTGTGTCATGTGCCTGTTACAACTAATGTTTGTGTCATGTGCCTGTTACAACTAATGCTTGCGTCATGTGCCTGTTACAACTAATGCTTGCGTCATGTGCCTGTTACAACTAATGCTTGCGTCATGTGCCTGTTACAACTAATGTTTGTGTCATGTGCCTGTTACAACTAATGTTTGTGTCATGTGCCTGTTACAACTAATGTTTGTGTCATGTGCCTGTTACAACTAATGTTTGTGTCATGTGCCTGTTACAACTAATGCTTGTGTCATGTGCCTGTTACAACGAATGCTTGCGCCATGTGCCTGTTACAACTAATGCTTGCGTCATGTGCCTGTTACAACTAATGCTTGCTTCATGTGCCTGTTACAATTAATGCTTGCTTCATGTGCCTGTTACAATTAATGCTTGCTTCATGTGCCTGTTACAACTAATGCTTGCTTCATGTGCCTGTTACAACTAATGCTTGCTTCATGTGCCTGTTACAACTAATGCTTGTGTCATGTGCCTGTTACAACTAATGCTTGCTCCATGTGCCTGTTACAATTAATGCTTGCTTCATGTGCCTGTTACAATTAATGCTTGCTTCATGTGCCTGTTACAATTAATGCTTGCTTCATGTGCCTGTTACAATTAATGCTTGTGTCATGTGCCTGTTACAATTAATGCTTGCTTCATGTGCCTGTTACAATTAATGCTTGCTTCATGTGCCTGTTACAATTAATGCTTGCATGTTTCATGTGCATGTGCCTGCTTGCTTCATGTGCCTGTTACAACTAATGCTTTCGCCATGTGCCTGTTACAATTAATGCTTGCTTCATGTGCCTGTTACAACTAATGCTTGCGTCATGTGCCTGTTACAACTAATGCTTGCGTCATGTGCCTGTTACAACTTATGCTTGCGTCATGTGCCTGTTACAACTAATGCTTGCGTCATTGCCTGTTACAACTAATGCTTGCTTCATGTGCCTGTTACAACTAATGCTTGTGTCATGTGCCTGTTACAACTTATGCTTGTGCCATGTGCCTGTTACAACTTATGCTTGCGCCATGTGCCTGTTACAACTAATGCTTGTGTCATGTGCCTGTTACAATGAATGCTTGCGCCATGTCCCTGTTACAACTAATGCTTGCGCCATGTGCCTGTTACAACTAATGCTTGCTTCATGTGCCTGTTACAAGTAATGCTTGCTTCATGTGCCTGTTACAATTAATGCTTGCTTCATGTGCCTGTTACAACTAATGCCTGCGCCATGTGCCTGTTACAACTAATTCTTGCTTCATGTGCCTGTTACAAGTAATGCTTGCTTCATGTGCCTGTTACAATTAATGCTTGCTTCATGTGCCTGTTACAACTAATGCTTGCGCCATGTGCCTGTTACAACTAATGCTTGCGCCATGTGCCTGTTACAACTTATGCTTGTGCCATGTGCCATGTGCCTGTTACATCTTATGCTTGCACCATGTGCCTGTTACAACTAATGCTTGTGTCATGTGCCTGTTACAATTAATGCTTGCTTCATGTGCCTGCTACAACTAATGCTTGCGCCATGTGCCTGTTACAACTAATGCTTGCTTCATGTGCCTGTTACAACTAATGCTTGCGTCATGTGCCTGTTACAACTAATGCTTGCTTCATGTGCCTGTTACAACTAATGCTTGTGTCCTGTGCCTGTTACAACTTATGCTTGCTTTATGTGCCTCATGTGCCTGTTACAATTAATGCTTGCGC